AAAGCAAGGTTTGGCCATTGTAGTTTTAGTCAATGCATAAAAACTTGTACTATATGCTTTGTGACTTGTAATTAAGAGTTTTTTGAATTTCTTGCATAAAATGGTTGTAATATATGCTTCAAGAGTTGTAATTAAGATAATGACCTAAATGCTTATATATGTAGTATAGATATATTTTTTTATGATATCTTAAAATTTATATTTTATTCAAAAATAAAATCATTATTGTTTTCTTAAAAACACATAAAATCGTATTATAACATCGACATAGACAAATAATAAAATAGAACATTAAAATCGAGATGTGTCTCGCTGCATTGCGCGAGTACTCTTCTAGTATATATATATATATATATATATATATATTGGCTTCTTTTTCAGCCTTTTTCCTCTCCTCTTTCTCAAATTTTAACTTATGTTTGAGCATTATAAAATCTTTAAAGTTGATGCACACTCATTTCAAGATCTTAAGATATACTAGGGATAGAGTGTACATGTTCTTCTTCAGATTTAGAGGTAGTACCACCAGAGATAGGCTCTTCTATTGTGTGAGCCATAAGACAAACTAATGCCTTGTCCTTAGGTGCTGGTTCATCATCAGATGTGGAGTCAGAGATCCAATTGTCTTGTTGAGCTAGAAGACTCCTTTCTCTATTGTTGTCTTTGTATTTGTTTTTGTAATAGCCAGCATCCTTGACAAGTTTGCCTCTACAATTAGCTGGAAAGTGCCCTGGCTTGCCACATCTGTAGCATTTCGCGATCTCTGGTCCTCATTTCTTTACTTCTCCCTTCTCTTCTTTCCTCTCTTCCCTCTAGTATTGCTTATAGGATTCTCTTCTGTAGTGTGCTTCCGGTTCAACTCACTTTTGTATTCTCTTTTCTCATAAGGTTTCTTGAGGAATTTCTTCTGGAATTCCTTGTTGAATAATGCCAAGGAGTATGCAAAAGCACTAAGATCATCATCTAAATCAGAGTGTTCTGGTTCAGAATCACTTTGAATTATCAAGGCCTTACTCTTTCCTTTCCTTCTGGCCATGTCTCTCGATGAACTTCTTTTGGAACTTTCTTTCTCCTCTGATACAAGATCCAGAGGACCACCTAGAGGCTTTCTTTTTGAAGATGGCATGTTTCTGTGAGGCCAAAGTTTCGTACACATCATGCAATGACTAACCATCCAAATCTTGGTTGGCTTGTAGAGACATTGTTAGCTCCGTCCATTCATCATTAAGGCTTTTGAGAAAGATAACATTTTCACTTCTTTGGTTCTGATGATGTCATTTCTCTTACATTGATTGATCAACGTATTGAAATGACCATATGTTTTCTGTATGGATTCGTCTGGTAATGCCTTGAAATTGGTGTAATCATTTAGGCATTGAGCTCGTCTGTTTTTCTTTGTTTTTGCATCGTCTGCAAGCTGACTCGCAAGTTTGTCCGAAATCTCCTTGGCAGTATTGCAGGAGTCTAAAGATTTTGAAAATCTCATTGGGAACGACCATAATAAGTAGTCGTTTGACCTTGCGATCCATCTCTACTTTTCAAATTTCATCAGCATCTCAATTCGCTTCATCCTTAGGGATGTAATAAGCAGAGATCTTGATAACATTTCCCACAACAGGAACACGAGGAAGAAGATTTTGAGGGATGAAAGGTCCATTTTGGACAAATTTATACAACTTGTTATCCATCCCCTCGAAGAAATTGATCATCCCATATCTTTTGTGGGGGATAATCATCTCTTTGTAGAGTAGGGGATTTTATGAGAGAACTCACACTGTAAGTTGAATTCTGATTTAGGCTCGCCATTACAAGCATAAAAATCAATACAAATTGCTCTTCAAAAACTCAAATAACCAACAATAATAACAATATTTAAATCTAAGACAGAAAACTGCGAAAACGGGGTTCTCTTAATTGAGAATTGTAAATTTGAAGAGATTACCCAAAGATCAAGAAAATAGATCCAATATAAGGAATTGATCGAATTAATTATAAATAATCAATCTGCTTAGATACCAATTGTTGGTTCCAATATGTCTCAGTTATGATCCAGACAAGAAATAAGATAAGTGGAAGCAAGTAGATCAAAATGGGTATAAGCAATTTAGATAAAAAAACAGAAATACGAAATCACAAATCTGTAGAGAACACCATCGTCATAATGTTTATTCATGTGAATATTTGAATTACAACATCTTGAGATTGATCGTGAGGATCAAGTATGAAAATACTTAGCTAATGTGTTATTGAAATCGTACTACAATGAACTAAGCATGAGCTTATACTTATAGTTTTAAAAAGGAAAGTCAAAGCATACACAAGTACGAGACGCCCATATGTAAAGGTGCTTTAACAAACTTTAGATGGGAACTATTGAGGCGCATGAGCTTCACACTTGTCCACTTGCACAGATTGGTAAGACCAGAGGTAGAGCAGAAGCAAGGCAGAGCCTCTGGTTAGCTGGATCGATCTTCTGGTCAAGGCTTCTGTTTCTCTAAGGAGCCGTTTACCAAACGCTACTCGGGTAAGCATTTACCAAGTCACGTTATCTAACCAGATGAATATGGCAAGGACCAAGAATCTTACTCGGTAAGAGCGAGACAAGAACCAAGAGACTTACCCGATAAATGTGAACGACGACTCTTACCACGGTAAGCGATTATCGGATAAATTGTTGCATGCGATGTCGTTTTGATGAACTAAAACCTTACCCGATAAGTAAATAATAGTGCTAAATTTTACTACTAAGCACTTACGGGGTAAGTATTTGATAAACGACCCCTAAGAGCACGTATTGGTCTTCCAACACTTAAGCTTTTTCATACTTTTATAATCAAAGATATAGGTCTAACACAGGATATATGAGATTTTTCATTACCTCTATATATTTATTTTTGTTTGCCAAATAGGTAAAGTGAAAAACTTAATTTATAAAAGAAGTAAGCTGAAAGAAATTGGATAATAATATTCAAATGTTTACAACCTTTTAAATTGTTTTTAATAAAAAAACCGTTTTTTAAATCATATTGAATACATTAATTAATTATAAAATTTAAAAAAAGGTGTTTGACCAATATTTTAACCCAACTCATTTATTTTTGTTTGCCAAACATGTTTTTTTAACTCGAACTCATTTCAATAAGTTACACAACCGTTGTTATGTCCATTTTAATTGGTTAAAGATGTATAGGGACCAGTCATTGGTTCTGTACACTTGGGTTCCGTCCCTTTAGCTTAGAGAAGCCCGATCCATCTAAGTATCGATCGTGGATATGAAAACTAGGACCGTTCTAGACCAACAAAACTAACCAGCTTGAAATAAACCCGATTTCTATTTTTAGGGGGTGTTTGGGATTGCTCATAATAACAACTTATTGACTTATTCCGGTGTGATACCGGTAATAAGCATTTTTGAGTGTTTGGATATACAGCTTATACCGATGTCAAACTGGTAATAAGAAGTTTTTGAAAAAGTTAAACCATTCTAACTTATAATAAGTTGATAAATTTTTTTGTAGAAAAACATAAATTGTTTCAAATAAGTAATCTCAAACACCCCCTTAAATGAAAAAAAAAATATCTTTTTGTTGCTTCCACAAAAGCAATTTGGATGTCTGCATATGTTTCTTTGGGGTTGTGTAGTTGGTTTTCCATAAAGTCCTACAGAGATAAAGTTGTCTGTATAGATTAATCTGTCTATATAGATTGAAAATATTTTTATTTGAAATGGTTTTTTCATAGATGAAATAAGCGTGTTTTTTGATAGGCAAGCCCAATTTGGAACAAAAACTTGGCTTTTTACATAAATCTCTTCCCCCCCCCCCCCCCCCCCCCGGACTGCTTACTAAATAAGCTAATTTAAATTTCATTAAGACACTACCAAACAGTCATTTATAGCTTGCCGAGTAAGTTGTGAGTCCCATTAAACTCATTAAGATGCATGAACAAGCCTTATTTCCCCAAAAACAATCCAAAATTCAAAAAGTAATCGTTGGAAGTAGGGACCGCCGGAGGACCGGGACCGATAAGGACCGGTTATGAGACCGAAAACCGGGACCGGTTATGGGACCGACTATGGACCGGCCCGGCCTGGCCCGAAAATTCAAATAATTTTATAAATAAATGTATTTTTAAATAATTTTATAATGTATTTTTATAAAAAAACGTAATTTTAATTATATTAAAACACATTTTTAAAGTGTATTTAAGTGACCCAATTGTAAATTTTATAATGTATTAAAAATATATATCATTAAAAAAATCAAAAAAATCTTATTTTTTTAATGCAAGGACCGGTTGGGACGGGTTGGGACCGGGACCGGGACCGGCGATCCATAACCGGTTATGAAGTACCTTGACCGGTCCTATCATTTTCGACCAGGACTGGGACCGGGACCGGGACCGGCGATCCATAACCGGTTATGAAGTACCTTGACCGGTCCTATCATTTTCGACCAGGACTGGGACCGGGACCGGGACCGGGACCGAGACCGAGATCGAGATCGGTTACGCCGGGACCGGTTATGGCCGGTTATGAAAATGGTGAGGACCGATTGGGACCGGCCCGGGATTGGTTTTTGGCCATCTCAAGTTGGAAGGGGTATTGATCGGGCTTTGACCAAGTCCAATTCACTCATTGGTCAGACCAGTTAACCTGGCTTTGACCAAACCAGTTAGTCCTTAACCATGTGCTTGGTCCAAGCTCATATCAAATTTGAATATAGATTTTTTAGTGATCTCAACTAATTTCATGGGCTCTGATGTTAACAGTAATGGAAACCCTTTTAGTGACCCTGAAGAACTTAAACTAGTGACCTCTGAGTAGAAGCAAACCCGTCGGTGGCCATATCTGTTCATACCAATCTACCATAAGAAAGAGCATTGCCCAATTTAAACACATGTGATAATATATTTTGGGTCCAATGAAATTAATCGACCAAATATCAGATTTCATGCTTATTAAAAGAAGAAAAACGTTAGCTTGGGTTGCAATCATGTACTCTTCCGAAGCCAAAACCAAAGCAATTAGTTTAATTTGGTTTAATGATTGCATACATCGTCCCTATTTAAAAACCCGAACCTATTAGTCTTCCTCGATTTGATATTGGATTCATGGTTTTAGCGATCTAACCAAATTTGATTTCTATTTTTATACTTATTTACTACAGACACCTGAATATTACAAAGAGAACATGGAAAGTAGTAGTAACAACTTCATGCATAACCGAACCACTTACACTCCTAACGTAGAGGATGGTAGCGGAGGCAATGGCATGTCGTAGTTATTGATCAGACTCCGGATTGATCTTGTGGTGATTTTAGTATCATCAATCGCTTGGTATAATTGAAATTCACAAGAAACTGAAGGAAAACCACGAAGGGTTGTAGCATAGTGGTTGAGGCCCTAGGTTCTATTCCAGGCGTATAGAACAATTGTGGTCACTGAGTTTATCAGGGCTGATTTCTTGCAGTCCCAATTTGCCAAGATTAATCTAGTCATAGCCTGGAACACCCTTCCAAAAAAGAGACCGAAGGAAGTTTGGTCAAGTTAGAATACAACTTAAGAGGTTCAGGTGCACACTCATAAAAGCTAACTTAAACACGAATGGCTACTGTCAAGGGGGCACGCCCCCTTGCATTTAGTGCCTGATCGGTGTCTAGCCTCAGCGCCTTATCATGTTACCGATCGGAAGTGGTTCATGAGTGGGTGAGTATATTTAACTGCCTTGTAACCACGTAACTACCCAATTCCCTTTGTTAACTGTCAGTAATCACATACGTTTAAAAGAAATTTTGAATCTCGATTTTGATATACAAACATAACACGATTGATTCAAAAACCAATCCAAGTTTGATTCAATTGATACATCACAAAACCAGATATCTAAATGATCGAAGGTGCAACATTTGGGTGATCTATATTACACTCGTTCCATCCAATATAAATTCCAATGGTACTTTCAAATACCCTGCATCATCACTGTAACCTCTCGGATAAACTTCAACTTAATTCTATATGTGTCAAGAAAATCGGTGTCATTGTTCTATATATTGAAGGGGTATTTTCGATATTTCACTGCTAAAATAATTCTTTAACTATAAACTACATATACATGTACATGTTCTTGTACTCTTATTTATGCTACAGTTTTACAGACATACATGGAACATGAAAGTGATGTTACCTGTCGCATAACAAGGATGGATTTCTCCTGTTGAAGGAAACCTTTGACCCAACTATCCCCGACTCAACGAAGGTGATGCCTGTTAGAAATAAAAGAATATACATGCAACACCAAACGAACAATTGCTGAGCTGCTTGGACTAAGAAACAAAAATATAAGAGGGCAAAATGCAACAAAATTTAGTTTAGTTCCTATTTAGTGCAAGCACAATAAAAAAGAATTCTCAAATATTGTAAAAAAGTTTCAAATTTTCCTATTTTTGCTCATTTTGACCGGTAACTTACTGATTTTGTAATATTTATTGACGTGGATACCCGTTTATGATACATTTACTGGAGGGTTATTATGGCAAAGGGGATAAGCTTGGTATCCATGTCATCAAATGTTACAAAATCAACAGGTTGAAAGTCAAAATGGGTACAAAATAGGAAAATTTAAAATTGATTGAGAGACGAGAAACTGGTACACTAAACGGGAACCAAGGCAAACTTCATTGCCTTTTGATACGTTTTTGCTAAAACAAAAGTATAATCGGAAGAGCAAGTAATTAACAATAACCTTAACGTTTCTTTAGTTCCACGTCGGATCTTGCAACGAATAGTAGGAAGCCCTAAGCGCTGATGAGCCTCAAAACGATGACATCCAGAAAAGCCTATTGAGAGACCCGGATATTGAATGATGGTTATCAAAATTGATTTTGCAGCAGAATGTACCAAAAGTACTCTTACAGTCCCATGAGAATCGCAACATCTCTTCTTTTTGGCAACATTTTAAGTTTTTTTAACTAAAAGTTACTAATTTCTCTTTACAAAGATATAGGGTTTGCATGTTTATCTTAAGTATGTCATCCCATCTCTTAGGTGATGAGGTTGCAAGTTCAAACCCCTACCTTCGAAAAAGAGATTTTCTTATTTCCTTATTATTGGACTCCCTCTATCACAAAATAAATGTCTACATTTTTATTTAGTTAGTCCCAAATAAATGTCCACTTCTAAAAGTTAGTGTGTACTTTCCAATTTTATCCTTAAATATGAGACGGAGAAATTCACATTACTCCCTCTATTATTGAGGTAAAATTGTCATTCATTTAATCAAAAAATGTAGTAAATACACAACTCTAAAACTGTAAGCCCATTATTATGAACATTTATTTTGGAATGGAGGGAGTATTTGAAGGGTAATTGAGTCATATCACAACTGCTCTAAGGTTTCTTTTGGACTACGTATTATGTCAAACGTTGCAATTTTAATAGAAAGAATCAAGTGCTTGTATTAAACCCTGTTTTTGGAATATAAATCCACACGGTTGCATACCATAGTAAGCACCATCGACCTCAAGCACATCAATCTGCATGTGTTACAAGACACGCTTAGTAATCTTGACCACAATCATCTATAACCTCATAATGGTAAACGAATTGACATGAAGAAAGGATAATTGGAAAAGTTTATCAAGACCCAGTAATAATCCTAAAGAAAACTACAAGGGTTGTGGCGTAGTGGTTGAGGTCCTGGAATACCCCATCTGCCCGAGGTTCGATTGCAGGCGTACACAACAATTGTGGCAATTGAGTTTATCAGGGCTGATTTCTTACGGTCACAATTTGCCAGGATTAGTCCAGGCATAACTTGGAACACCCTTCCAAAAAAATAATCTTCAAGATAAAAAGATAAATTATCAATTAACATTTAAACTGCAATGAATAATGATAGCAAAATGAGCATCTCAGAGATCAGGGATCAAGCCTAATGGTGATGTCCTACAACCCTTTTTAGGGTTCCCCAAATCAAACTAAATGAGCTCAGTATATCTCACCCAGAGGTGCGGTTTGGGGATATGACATCGCAGACCTAACATCTACCCCAAATAGTAGAGCGGCTGTTTCTATGAAGACCCCCGGTTTGTGAAAAGTGTGAAAAAGATAGAAAGACACATGATAAATTTTGACCTTTTCAGGGTTCCCTACCCACATAAACAAACTACAGTTAGCCATTCATCATGCCTCTGATCTTTCTACATTTATCAATTACATCTTAGTTTTAATAGAGGCCCCATATAAATCTTGAAATATTTGTAGGAGACCATGAAAGTTAAACATGATGCTTTCTGCAAGGAATCTAAGACTAGCCCTGTAAACTAATTTCTGTCTTTATGAATCCTCACTTGTCATCTGGCTCTAGAAACACACCTTACCATGAAATGCCACATCAACCACGGTTTCTTTATAAGGTAGATGACCCCTTCCTTAAGTGTTGCTACTACAAGTTACAGAGCAGAAGAAAGAATTTTTTCCTAAGGTGTTGCTGAAAATTGTACAAGTTAGGAATAAGGAATATATTTGGAGTATTCTATTTGTTGTTAAAAATGGTGTAATGTGTTGGAGACCGTTGCACCAAATTTTACACCATTTTGGTGCAAGAAATGGTGTGAACGATTGGAGATGGTCTAGGGTGTTGCCGAAGCTCTAGTATATTTGACAGATATCTTGCTAGTCCTCATTTCACCAGGCATAGACTGTAGAAAAAAATGTTCTGATGATCAATCTTTTATTTTATGTCCTGATATTCGGATTTTATTTAGTCTATTTAAGGACCAGTCCTCAGCAAAAAAATTGGTTCGATAGGTCTGGGGGCACATTTACCATCCTCATCAGGACTGGTCCTTGCATAACTGGTGTTGGGCCGGTCTGTGTCCTCGGGCCTGGAGGTGCATCTCTGACAGCATGGTCATCACAACTTCTAGACAGGGGGCCTAAATGCCTAATCAACAAGACTCATCCTTGCTCAACAACGAGGCATCCTAAGTAAGCATTTTAAAACATTGACAATGCACATGTTACTGGAAACATTTTGAAAGTATTTTACTACTCCTCTTGATTCTCTAGGGAAACTCTTGTAAGTACTCCTAAGATTTCTTGATTGCTCTATCTCATATAATTATGCCAGAACTCTCTATAATAGTCCATCCCACCTAAGATATTTTACCTAGAAGACCAAAAAGGTTATAGGCAATCAACTCAAAAGATTAGTGGTTTGAGAGAGAAAATAGACTTTTATTGATTGTGAAGTGCTTATAACTCTTATTTGATGCTTTACAAATAATGGTGAAGTGGAATCTGTCAATAAGTAGGCTAATCCTCTGGAGATTTGTACTTCTTGTCCAAAGGGTATGCCCAGTATCTTGTGAACCACTTTTCACAATCTCATTTCTCAAATTAGTGGAATATAAATAATCTCAAGAACAATCATTTTCTACTTGCGGCTGGCTACATATAAAATAGATTGAATTTTCTCCCAACTTGTCTTCTCCATGGGGTATGCTCAGTATTTTGTAAACCTCTTCTGCTGATTTGGATTAAGTTCAGAATTCAAATTGTAATCTATTGTTCCCATTAAAACGCTATCCCAATTTCTTCTTCACTAGAAATGCAGATCTCACCATGAGCTTAAAAGTTAAAATCACACACTCCCTCGTTCTTCTTTCATAGTAATTGAACTTCCATATCCCAGTTCTAATTTGACATAGCTTGTCTTCAATATTTTGTGGAATAAATCAAAGGCCCCTGTGCTATCACATATTAAAACTTGTTCACATATGAAACATTCTAGATCCTATTTAGATAAGTATGACAAGATTTCATGAAAGGCATGTAACTGACAAGAAATATATATGACTTTCCTTCACTTAACACTAAAGAAAATGAAAAAACAACTATCTAAAATGAAAAGTATTTTTATAATTGTTGTAGTTGGGCCCAAACTTTTATTCCTTAAAGATCATAACTCATGAGATCATGGGTAAAATTATAGGTGTCTAGCATTTGCTTTTACGTATACGATTGTGTGACACCTTATCAGTTCAACCAAACGAGTTCAAAGCTATATGGAATGGTGTGTTGCAGGGCTAAAATGAAGTCACTAGAGGGAAATATGAATAGATAGTAAGATAGACATCATATGAACCTATAGCTAAGAATTACTTCAAGTAATCCAAATTCCTAAGAGGCATCATGCACATAACTTCTAGCTAGAACTCTATAAAAGAATTTATATGCAATGATATTTAGATGAAAGGATAGCAAAAAAGATAATTGGTTATTAATTCGAGCCCTGAGGTCTTGAAATTTCTTTCAATCACATGATATTTCCCATCTAAAGTGTGTAATTCTCAATCCTTTGTTAGAACGTTCATCAAATGTGTTTCCCGTCCTGCATCAGAATGGTACCTCTTCATAGAACAAATCATGAAAACAAGATGCCACTTGGTCTAAACTTACCAGGCACCGAAGTAACTTGCTCAATACATGGAAGGATAGAGAAACAACAACAATCAAAGAAACAGTTAAAACAACCAAAAGAGAAAGCGATTCCGAAAATTGAATGCAATTGAGGGCTTACGGGTACTTGAAGACCAATTTGGGCAATACTATCCATGAGGTCTTGCACCTTCTGTTGATCATTGGTTCTTGTACGCATTAAAGGTCTCCGAATTTGATTAAGGGGAAGTTCAATGATCAGTGGACCTCCTTTTCCTGATTGAGATGCTTGATTACTGGAAGTTGGAAAAGATCCTGAAAGAGAGAAGAGAACTTTAGTATAGGATTAGGTTGGGGGCCATACATGATGAAGTTATGTGTGTGTTTTGAACAGAGAAATCCCACACCATTGGAGGAAGAGGAAGCAAAAACACTAGGGTTTCTCAAGGTGTTGGGAACTTGCAGAAGAAATCTAGCCATTTGTTTCTGCTAATGATCGTTGTTTTCTTGCCTTTGCTTTGCCTCTCATAACTACTTTTTTTAGAGTAAATTGCTATTTTAGTCCCTGCAGTTTGATGTTTTTAATAATTTCTGTCCTTGATTTTTAAAAACTGCTTTTTCGTTCATATGGTTTCCATTGTGCTACCATTTTCGTCCCTGTATCCAACGTGGTTAAGATTATGCGTTCAAAATACTAAAAGTCATTTGAGTAAATCATATATTTAGTTCTTGTGGTATACCAAGTTAGAAATATGTATCTTTAAATTCCATTTATTACATGAGTAAACTATAAATTTGATTCTGTGATTTGTTGAAAATAACACACTTATATATAGGGGGCATTTAAAGGAGAATATAGTTGTTTGTGATAAATGTAAGATGCAATATCAATCACATATTATTAATAATCAATAAATATTATAAAAAATGTTAATTTTGGTAATCAATTTAGTTCAGATAATTATGGTAACTACATCATTAATAAATAACTGCTAAACAAATTAATTTTGAATTTTAATCAGAAAAATAATTAATACACCATTTAACTATTAGTTAAATAAATAAGGAAAATAACATCAATAATTGATTGGCTGAAATTGAATCTCATGGTTATCACAAATTACCGAGTTTTCATTTGATTAGGCCCTACCTAATCAAATAAGAACTCAGTAGTTTGTGATAACCATGAGATCCATCTTTAGTCAATCAATTATTGATATCAATTTTCTTATTTATTTAATTAATAAAGGGTGTATTAGTAATTTTAGTATTTTTGGTAATTATCTTTGATTAGGCGGTTCCATTAAATTCTCAACTAAATTGATTTGTATTGATTTTGTTTTCTTTGCCTTCATCTCTTCACCTTCAAAATATTAACCGGTCACCAAATTCCCTGAGGTATGGAACAACTCATCCTCATGTTTAGGCCGACCTAACCTCTCACAAGAAAAAATTGCCGGAAAATCTCATCAAAAATCGTCCTTGTTCGTCCTCTAATGAACCTCATAATGCTCGTCTTGTTGGTCCATGTTGCTTTGCAGTATTAGATCGATGGAGATGGGGTCAATGATGGTGGGGTTGTCCTTGTTTGGCCTCGTTAGCTACTCAAAATAGAATTTGGTCTCAACCTATTCGGTATTATAGTAATATCACAATGTGTATTACAGTAGTATCACAGTGGAATCATAGTGGTATCATTGTGTGTATTGTCGGTTTCTGTCAAGTTCTTGGGTATCTCAGAGAGTATAATAATGGTGTACATCGTAATAAATTTGGCAGGAGTAAGGTTTGTCGGCCGGAGAGAGGAGAGAGGAAAAAGGATAATTATCAAAATTTGATGATTACAAAAATTAATATTTTTTATAATTAACAAAAGACTATTTTACCCCTAAATATTATCCATAAATTAAATTTTTTTTTTAAATTAATGGATAATTACCAAAATTAATATTTTCAATAATAATAATTGATTACTAATTATTAGTGTGGTTGAGATGAGATCATATGATTATTACAGACAATTGAGTTCTCCGTTGAATGACTATATATATAAGTGTTATTTTCGACAAACCACAACGACCAAATTTATTGTTTACTCATGTAATAAATGACATTTAAGAATAAATATTTGAAACTCCATATACCACGAGGACTAAATGTGTAATTTACTCAATTCACTTTTGTATTTTCAACGCCTATTCTTAATGGTGTTGGATGTAGGGACGAAAATGAAAGCAAGATGTTAACCACGGGGATGACAAGAATAGTTTTTGTAGACCAGGGACGAAAGTTGTTATAAACATCAAACCACAAGGATGAAAATCATATTTTACTCTTTTATTTATATAGAGTGATTAACACGTTTGGTCTTTATAGTTTATCAAAAATTACATTATAAGTCTTAAATTTGAAATAATTATGATAAGATCTATGTGGTTTCCATTGTATAACACCATCTAACTCTGTTAATTTATCTCAGTTTAACTTTCCGGTATTTTTTTCTTTTTATCTTTTCCTTACTTTAAAAAAAATAAAATAAAAGAATATTAAGTTATAATATTTTATACTTATTACATCATATATATGTATATACAGATGAACACCCCTTTCGGCTATGATAAAAAATAGTTCTTCCCCACCATTACCGAACCACCATCCCATCGGTCAAACCCCCTCCCCTCAAATCCTCATCATATATGATAGATGATCATTGACGCGTAATTAATCAACATTGGCACGAAGAAGTATAGACTCGAACCAAATGATATGCAGGAGACAAGGGCACTGATACTCCGATTGTCCACCATTGATTCCATCTCAATGGTTTTCTGCTTTTTCCACAAAGAGAGTTTTTTGTTAGCTATAGACGAGGGAAAGTACCTACATTAATATTAGACAGCCTTAAACTCATCACTTCTTCCAAATCAGTTCCCTATAGACTACACTATATACTACATCAACGACTTTCTTCCATTGATCAACATTCGTTCTAGGATCTGATTGATTACTCTTTCTCCGCTACCTTTGTTTGCTAAATTACTAATGGAGCTTTTCTTTTATGATTGCAATATCATATTCGAAATTCACTGCAAGATGTACTTCAGTCATGGTTTATTGGAGGGTGCTCTACTTTCTGGAAGTCATTAATAAGTAAAGGTAAGAAAGACAAATCAATCCTACAAAATCATAGCTAAACCGTTTCTAGGTGGATTTTGAGATGGGCCTTTATCAATATTCTTGCTTTCATTCTTGTTTTCCTTCATATAAACACACTCAAAACACACAAAGCACAAATGTTTGGTTCAAAAATGTATTGTTAAGAAACACACAAATTGATACATAGGTTTGTGTTCATTACATATCAGTGTTCTTAAATTTTGTTATAAGATTGAAGCCCTGGCAGAATGTTGTGGGAAGAGTTCAATTGAAGATAAAGATTTTGAAGAAGATGTGTCCAAGTGTCAAACCCAATAGTCGGCAAACCCCATAAGATCAAGAAAACACCATCATCATCATCATGGACATCCCTGATCGCCAAGAACCATAACAAGGTGTAATGAGGGTAGGGTGCTACAACAAGAAGAAGATCATTAGCTCCAAAAGTTGTGAGTGTGTGTATATGGATGGATGGTAAAATAAGGACGACAATGAAGTTGTGGGGGAAGGGAAGAGGTATTGTGTGACAAAAAGTGAACAAAGGAGAGGTCGGAGATAAGCGTAGGGGAGTCGACCATCCACCTCTATGTTTAATGTGTGTGTGTGTATGTATGTATGTATATATTAATAATAAAAACAATATAATAATGTACTTTTAGTAAGAAAAAAACTAATTACAAATTAAAAGAAATAGCTAAAATGAGAAAAATACTTTCAAGTTAATTGAGGTAATATAAATGAGTTAACAACACGACCCAAAGCACTATAAAATGTAAGCCATAGAGCCTTTTTTCGTAGTATTTCATTTTAGGGATGCACAATGTGATTTGTTGTAAACTATAGGATCAACCATCTAATTTGTTCTTATATATATATATATATATATATATATAGGGACGTTAAAATACAACCTTTGCAATTCTTACACCCAATACAACCATCATCTTTACCATCCAATTTTTAATCTAAGGTCAAGATGCATTTGATGGCAAAGTCGTGCTAAACTAGATATTTTGATACACGCGCCTGATTCTTTGAGGACAATGAAGGGCAAAATTGTAAGGGGGAAATCAGCCTATTCTAAGTAACGATACTAGGAAATCAACAATGCTATAATCACTCTAAATCAAATGCTAACACCGTGATTCAGTAGGAAATCGATTCTGGGTAAGATGCTATGGCAGACGAACTTCATCATGGTGTATTCATTGCAGCAAATCGAGGTAAGATACTTCGTTGAATGAAATTAGTATAATGTTTCGATATAACCTTATGCGTTGTGTATATGTATCAGTAAGGAAACTAAGCGAACGAATAATGATAAAGCATTCATTCTCTAAGTTCAAGAACACCACTAACAATCCAGTTGTTCTTGACGAAGAAGAAGACCCTGTTTCAATGAACCCAGAAGCATGTCAAAATACTGAACAAAGCGTTCCACTACATGAAGAAACAGATTCAACAAATGT